GTTTTGTGGCTTCATTGGATGGGTACAGTGACGACTGACAGGAAAGCAGAGGGAGGGCGAGGGGAAAGGGCCGCGAGTCAGATTCAAACCTGGGCCCACCGCTCTCAGCCTTACGGGCGCCTGCTCATCCTACTGAGCTAAATCCGCCACCACACAATCATCCTCCAACCGCACACGCCCATATTTTGTTTTCCAACTTCATTGCAGTTTATTTCACACCTCAAACCTTTAGTAAACAATTAAACAAATAAAAGTAAACTGCAATAAATTACAGGTTGCAATAAAAAAAAACACTAAACAAACCATCTTCATGGTGTAATTATTTTATTGTAGTTATTTGTTTGTTTTTTTGTAATAATATTCAACATTCCTATCAATGCGTTTAAAAAAAAAGTCTCTCTGTGCAAAATCAGTTTAAAAACATAAACGGCTGTGGGAGACTGTTTGGAGAGCCCAGCGCTGCTCCCGACGCAGGGGAACTAATTCTGTCAGAAAGACCGGCCTCGGCACTCGTGCAGGTGAAGCCAAAGGCAAGATATGCTTCATCATATGTTCTTGTCTTTGCTTGGAACAGCGTTGGTTTAATATAAATAATAATATTGAATACTAATAATAAATAAAGCATATTTGGCGATGCTTCATCTTCTGCTTCGCGTTTGTGTGGGAGCCCCGTCAAAATTGGGAAGCACTGATATAAACTATCATTATAAATGATCATTATTAGTATCAGGTTTACTTTTCTTCAGAGCATTTCAAAGCATTTGTGAGTGAACGATCACCTCGGTCTTGTTTTGAAAGTTCCTTTGTTAACCAGCTCTGGTCCTTCTCCACAGATGATGATGAACCTGCTCACAGGGTGCTGAAGGTGTTTGTGCATTTAAAAACTGTGTGTCTGTGTGTGCAGATCAAATGACAGTTTTGAATCAGCAGGAAAAGTTAAGTGGATATCTGTGAATGGAAAAGTCTTCAGACGGTGGCCGAGTTTAGAGGAACATTTAAACTGATGTTCATGAAATTCACTAAAACTTGATTTAAGCCAAATGTGAACAAACAGGTTTGAAAAAACACACACACACACACACACACACACACACACACACACACACACACACACACACACACACAC